CCGCCCACTCGGCGGGGTCACAGCTGCCTCTGGAAGGCACCGAGAGGTACAATAGTGCGCAAATGGTCAAATAAATCAAGGTTTTGTAAGCGAGCTGTGCCACAGTGAAATGGAACTACGGGGTGTGGACCCTGAGTTGACCAGGGGTTGTGCGCTGGGCCCTCCTGCTCGGCTCCAGCCAGTAGACAAGTCTTGTCATCAACAGAGTAGAAGGATCTGACCTCGGGGCCGATGTGACCAAGCGCTGGTAGCGTGGTTTAACCTCACACCCATGGTCTCACAGTGTGCCGGCAGTCGCCGAGCAGTGTCACTCACACAAGCCGCAGCACAAGTGACTGAGGGCCAGTGAGGGCGAGCCCATCGCTGTCACAGCTGTGGCAGCCGCACAATAGGCTGTGTCAACTGTGCAGAGTGTGTGAGCAGCAGAGGAGCTGCTCTCCAGGCTTCTGTCGCAAAGAGCTGCATGCCACCGAAAGCGCTTTCGAGGTTCGCTGAGCGCGGCGCAGGTTGAGGGACACCGTCACCGACGAGCGCGTTGGAGTATTCACTCCGGACAAAGACAGTGGCACGCACTCGAGCTGCGGCCGTGCCACTGTCATAGTGGCGAGGCGCGGGACCGTCTGTGGCGAAGTGGGTCGCGTCCCTCGATTTCCTCAACTCACGGTCCGCTCCCTCTAGCCAGCGAGGTGGGTCGCGTCCCCGGATTTCCTCAACTCACGGTCCTTCCCCCGTAGCGCTCTACACTCTACATCCTCTACACCCTCCCTAGCGTCATGAGCGCACCGTCGTCAGGCCATGAGTGTATGTTCGAGTCCACGACACACAGAGCTGCGTATACTACTTACGCCTCTTCCTGACGAGCCACATCGCTAGCGATTAGGGCTCCGGCGGCGGCACGCAATCGCACTTCCTCTGGACCCGCTTGCCGTTGTTGGGGTCGTGAGTGCAGTTATGGATGCCCCGCGCAAGCGCCCGCTGGACGTGCTTGAACTCGAGGGCCCTCCGCGAGAGCCACATCTCGTCGCCGTAATGGCCGTGGTTGCACTGCCACACGTAGCCGTGCGCCTCGAGTGCCTGGACGAGGTCCTCCTTGGGATTTTCGACGGTGAGCACGGAGATGGAGTACGCATCCCATGGGAACGAGGACATCACGAGACTCTCCGCCCCCTGAAATTGGCAAAGGGAAAGGGTGAGGGCAAGGATGCGGCTCCTGAGGGTGCGGTCTGGGGGTGGAGGAGCTCGCGCCTCAACATCGAGCGACATGTAGTCGATCGTCTTCGGTGCCTTTGTCTGCTCGAGGATGCGCCAAAACGGCACTGTCCTCATCTCAATCACGTCCTCATCGTGCGCCTTGGAGTTGCGCATGCCCTTACCGACGATTCCACCATACACCCCTCGAGGGGTGAAGCGCACCATTTCCTCAGTGCTCGCAACGGCGGCTCCGACGACGGTGCAGTTTCTCTGAGAAAGGAGGCTCGCGTGCAGCGAGGGGTTAGCCTCGATGCACAGGCCCTCCCAGTTGTAGTCGCGCTCAAGCGCACGCGTGTTGGAGTTCCTTCGCCATTCGTTCGCCGCCAAGTCGATGAAGAATCGGTGGCGATTGCCCATCCCATCTGACGGCATCAGGGCATGGACGGTCCTGTCCTGCCCCGATTGGCCGTTCCAGGTGCCCGGCCGGTCGCGTGGGTTCGCGTGTGGATTCGGCACGGCGAGGAGGAGCGGGCGCAGCCGGAAGCGTGCCCCTTCCGGGGCAGGTGGGGTGGCCTCCACGCCCTCCACGTCCCCCACCTGGCTCGCATCGGAGCCTGTGCAAAGCACAATCAGCGGGAGAGCGATCGACGACAGCATCCCCGTGATGACACGAAAGCTGTGGCAGCCCTAATTCTATAGCCTGTTCAGCCTCGTCAGGAGCGCCGCTAGGCCCGGGGTCGGAGGTAGAGTCGGTGGTGGTGCCGCGCGCGGCGCGGGCTTCGCTGTCGGGGGCGTTTAGGGCGGGGTCGGGGAAGGAGGGGGGGGTCGGTTGCATTGGCGCCGCGCGGCAGTGCCTGCGGGGGGGGCGGGAGGAGGTGGTGGCGCCGACCGCAATGGCGGCCGACCCGAGGAGCGCCGGGCGAGATCACGAGGGTCGAGGGTGAGCTCGAAGCCGAGGGCGGCGGCCGAGTTCTGAACGGTGAGGGCGTCGGCGGTGACGATGGCGGCGGAGATGGCGGCGGAGTTTCGCGGGAGTGACCCCATGCGTCAAACCCGAGACCTAGCGCGGGTGGATTGGAGGGGGCTCACCCCGTTCCTCCCCATCGGGCCGCATAAGCGGCCACGCCTCGCAGATTCGTTTCTCGCGCCTGGGTCAGGCGCGCGGGGCATCCCCCGGGTCGCTCGACCAGCGATCCGAAGAGTGGCCGCTATGCGAAGGAAAGAGTGGGGCCCTCCCCGGGGTACGCCTCGTCCGGCCCCCTCCGGGGGGGGAAGGGAATTGCGGGGTCCCCTCGGGCGCCTCAGTTCGGCCCTCCCGAGGGGGGGAGGGGAGCAAGGGGGTGGGGGGATTGGGGTGGTGGGGACGGGGTCTCGGATTTCATGTGGCTAAGACTTGCCTTTCGGGGAGGGGCTTCCGTTGGAAGGCGAGCGCGGTTGCGCGCGCCCTACGTCTTCCCCTCCTCCCTCGAGGCAGCGAGTAGGCAGCGAGAGGAGGTCTCGAGCGCCTATATGAAGCTTGAAGGTATGTGAGATGGTGATGGGAATGGGTGGTCGGGCGGGCGGGCGGACGGGCGGGCAAGCGGGGAGAGGCGGGCGGGCGGGGCGGGGCGGGCGGGCGGGGTGATCGGATGCTCTGCGACAGCACACCTCCCCCTCGTCCCGGGAGCAGCTGAGTCTGCCTCTTTCTTCGCCATCTTTTCAGTGTATGCGGGTTTCGAATCTTTGTGTGCCTTTGGCCTGTGCAAGGGTTTCCGGCAGAAACTCGCGAGTTTCCCTGAGTCTGAGAGCTGTTCTGGGGCAAAATCTGAGGCAAAAATGGATGGTTTCCCCGTGTGAATTTCCCCAGGAAACTAGAGGGTGCTGTAGGAGCACTTCCCCGAGCACTTGGAGTGCAGTCGGCAACCTCACATCCAGGGCCGGTGAGCTGAGAAGCGCATCCAGCGGGCCGGATGATCGGCATCGGGCTACGGGCTAGAGAGCCCTGACCCCTAGCTAGGGGGGGGCGCGCATTCGCAGGGCAAGGGCCTTAAAGTAAACACGGGGAAACTAGCAGGAAACATGGAAAGGAAACCAGGTAGGGTGCGAGGAAACCCTTGCTTGTACATACAGGCCAAGTGCGCCTCCACCGAGCTTGGGCCAGCAGGGGGACGCACGCGGGCGAGATTTGCTTCGAAGTTGGCGAGCTCGGCCGAGCACCTTCGACGTGCGTCCCCTGCTGCACAAAGCTCGGAGAGGTGTGAGAATCGGAAACCCCAAACGGGGATCCGCAGATGCAAGCGCCGATCCCTCAATTGCTCGGGACGCCGACACATCGGAGCACAGCACGCCGACACTGCTGCTGCTTGAGTTGCGGCGCGTCGGCAGCTGAGGATGCTGCTGCTGGCACTGCTGCTGATGCCCGCTGCGCCAGCCAAGCACCACAAGAGAAAAAATTCAGCCGCGGCTGGCGCGCTGGAGGAGCTCGCTGCCACGCTCGCGGCTCCGACAGAGCACGACTCGGGCGCTGATGAGAGCCCCCAAAGCGGGTTCTCAACGGTCCCTACGTGGAAGCGCGATCACTGGGAGCGCAGGCTGCAGCACCGACCGCGACACGACAGCCAAGGGCGGGCGTGGACCTCTTCCGCATGAGAGCTTCTGCCCGAGGATTTTTCACGCCACCCCCCCGCCATCCCAACCCCGCCACGGAGAGTATTGCCTCCTTCCGTCCGTCGATTGACCGAGCCGCAAGGCCCGGCGCCGACGCAGTTTTACCGCTTCGCCACCGCACCACTTCTAAAATGCCTGTGGGAGCCTTCCGGATCCCAGACGGCCTAGCTACTATCTAGCTATCCTCAAACCTTTTGTGATAGGGCTATTGTACTTTCGATCACGGATGTAGTTTCGCGCACGATCGCCAAATACGCGATTGAGGGTGGCCGTCAGGAGAGGGCAAGAGAGGTTGTGATGAGCAGGAGCGTCGCGAGCGCGTGTCGGTGTGAGAGTGCGTGCGCTCGAGCTGACATACGTCGTGTGTGTGCGTACACGGCTTTCGAAAGGCTGAGAAAAACAGAGATGCTGGCGGCGCGCCTTCACAAGGAAGCTAGCCGTGTCCACTGCCCCTACCCAGCGGCGGCGCCATCAAGCACCTCCACCTCCTCCGAGCAAAAGTAGCCAATCAGCTCCCCCTCCTCTTCGGGCTCGAGCTCGACTGTGACGGGCGCTGTGGCCAGCTCGTTGCAGCAGCACGCGGCGTCGGTCTCACACTCGGCCCACACGTTCGCGACGACGCCCTGCATGCCTCTCGCGCTCGCGTACCCCTTGACCGCGACGTCGGCCACAACCTGCACCCGGTCCCCCTCCACTAGCTCACGGTGAGCAGGCGGGGTCCAATCCTCGTCGTACACAGCTCGCCACCGCTCGCGCTCCCTCGCCTCGAAGGCTGCGACCCGCGCCTGGTCGCGGTGGAGGAGCGTCAGCTCGCGGAAATCGAAGTAGCCCGTCACCTTGCGCTGCAGCCTTGCCGTGATGGTGGGCTCTCCCCACGCGAGCTCGCAGCACGCGCCCCAGTCGTCGGTGGCGTCGTCGCCCTCGCCGAACACCTTCAGGACCGTGCCCGTCAGACCCTTGGCGCTCCTGCCCTTGACAGCCACGTCGGCCGTCACACGGATGGTGTCCCCTTGCGTGGGCGACACCGCAGAGCACAGACTCTTCGCCCGCAAGGCGTGCCGGAGAGGTCTGGGCGCAGCGTGCATGATCAGCGCGCCGGCGACGGCCACGAGGAGCTGCCAGAGCAGAAATGCCGAACCCCGGTTAAGGCTAGGCATGGCTGTGGAAGTGGGCGCCCGTTTTCTTCTTCGTCAACGCCCGTTGAGAGGCCGGGGGGGCCCAGTTGGCCAGCGGCTTCCGCAGCAATAATGGGACGGTTCAGCTCGATCGCCAAGTCGGTCAAGGCGACCAACTCCTTCAAGCGCTCCAGCAAGGCCGATTCGGCCGCCTCCTCCGCCGCCGACGTCGAGTCCAACCGGCTCGAGGAGACTGTTGTGGAGCCGGCACACCCCGCCCCGCGCCTCGGCGCCGACGTCGCGCCACTGCGCTCCCTGACCGATCGCACGCTTGGCTCGGCAGGTCACCCTGACGCTCGGCTCGACCTCGCTGACCTTTTCCGACGGCGCCTGGACGAGCGCTGGCGGAGAGCAGAGCACTGCAGAATCTTCGGCGCAGGCGTCGGCGGCAGCGCAGGAGCACAGCCAGCCACCGAGTCAGCGCACGCGACCGAGGCGCACCCGCGGCTGAGGGCTGGTTGTGGCGGGGCTGTAGGAGGAGGCGAAGCGGCTCTCGAGCGAGAATGCGCAGCTCGCGGGCGAGAACACGGCGCTGCGCTCCGAGGTCAACCTGCTCAAGCTCAAGGTGGAGCTGCTTGTTGACATGGTGACGCTGGCCAACCTCGACTGCGACAAGCTGAGCGAGGAGGTGTCGCCGCTCGCCTCACCCGCTCTCTCTCTCTCTCTCTCTCTCTCTCTCTCCCTCTCTCTCTCTCTCTCTCTCTGTGTGTGTGTGTGTGTGTGTGTGTGTGTGTGTGTGTGTGTGTGTGTGCGAAACGGGCCACGAGCCGCCGCCCACGCAACAACCGACCAAATGTCCTTCCCCTCGCCGCACAGCTTGAGCAGAAGGAGCTGGAGCTGGAGCAGAGGGACCCCCAGCAGCTCGTTGGCAAGGGCTGACCATGCCGTGCACGCAGGGCTCGAGATGCCGTGGAGGAGCTAGTGGGAAGGCTATGTTGTTGGCAAGAGAATTCCTCGCTTTTTTCTTTTGTGACAAGCTCTGCCTCTGGGCCGGTCCGGTTGCGGTACTTCGCGGCCACCCGCGATTCGGGAACACGGATCACGGCCACAGAGGTGACTGGTGTGAGTGGCCGTGGAGTGAGAGCTGAGAGCGGGACACGGGGACAGCGAGGTCAGAGCTCAGATACCGGGTGAACCTGGGATGTGGGAACCGGCCGCGGAGACTGCCGCAGTGTGCGGACACATACACGATACACTCTCACAATTGTTGTGGGGCCACTGAGGGGGGCAGTGGACCTAGGGCTCGGGGAGAAGGTGAACCTCGCGGCCAAGTGTAGAGCCACAAGCATTCAGTCTCGCTCCGCATGCTCGGCTCCTCCCGTTTTCTCGGCTCATAAATCCTCTCATGTCAGGAAAAGCGCCGCGCCCACCGGGGCGTAAGGTACAGGTAAGGTAAACTTCTCCACACACACGAGGTGTAGACACTCCGCCATCGCCTCCGCCGCCCTCGCCGCCTTCACCACTGCCGCCTCCTCCGTCGCTACCGCCGCCCCCGGCGCCTCCGTCGCCCTCGCCGCCCTCCGCGCCGCCCGCCGCGCCGCCCGCCGCACCGCCCGCCGCACCGCCCTCCGCGCCACCCGCCGCGCCACCGGCAATGCCGCCACCTCAATTTGTGGAGTGTGGTCGTGTCGGTGCCTGCTCTGAGCCCTCGGGCTGGAAGGCCGCCTCTGAGATGTACGCGGTGCGGTGCTGCTCGGAGACGAAGCTCGGCGACTCATGGAAGAGACGGAAGGGCTGCGACGTCTTTGCTGAATCGAACGGCCCCGAGATGGAGGATGCACAGGGCGTCCAGTGCGAACCTGCTCTGACCTATGCTGAGGCCGTGGCGGACTGTGCCGGCGCGGGCGCCCGCCTCTGCACAGGGGCGGAGCTGCGAGCCGACTGCGCAAAGGGGACGGGCTGTGGGTTCGACAAGAGGCTCGCCTGGGCGGGGGAGCAGTAGCAGCTGAGTGAGGGAAGCAGGTGACATGCCTCCATCTCGCTCGGGGGCCCAGTCAAAGTTTTATTAGTTAGCGCTGGTGTCTTCATGGCTACCCGTGTCCGTGTCAAGTCACCAATTGTGCGAGGGAGTAAGAAGCTACGAGGTGAAGAACAGTCTGGCTTGGAGGCTTCAAGCTGTGTGTGTCTCGCGCCTTGCGGGGGGGGAGCGGAAAGGAGAGAGATTTTTAGCAATACCAAACAACTCTAACACTCACACGTAATTTGGGGCCTGGAGCCCTGTTCACGCGCGCGCGAGACGTGCAGACAGGGTTGCCAGGTGAGAGCGAATTTGTTTGTTTTGCGGAAAGGAGGAACCTCTTCCCAAGAGCGCCACTCTTGGAGCGCCGCCACTACCACCCAGAGCGCTGCAAGCAGCGCCGGGCAATGACGGCTTACCGCCCACCCAGCCCCCCCTCGGCACACCCCGGCCGCAGCCAATGTGTGACGGCTCGAACCCGCTTAAGCCATCCCGCAAGCGGGATGGCCCGCCACTTGAACCCGCAAGCGGGCGTACGAACCGCGAGCGGCTCGCACTCGTGACACGCAGGCGTCCGACAGACGGCGCCGGGGCTAGGCGACCGAAGAGGAACTACGGCTTCGCTCGGGCTCAGGTACAGAATTTCACAACAAAAGGCAAAGAAAAAAACGCCGTGCGAGAAGCTCTTCGGCCCCCTACTACGGATGGTGCTGGACTCGCTGCTGCCCGAGCTCAACGCGCAGTCGGCGACGCTGGCGCTCGTCCTCGGTTTCTCGGCCATCTCCCTCACTCTCGGCGTGCGCGGGGTGCGCGCCGCCTGCCCCGAAGTGCCAGCGTGCGCGATCGGCGAGGCCACGCCTGGTGAGACTCCCGCTGAGCCGTCCACCGCCCGTCGCGACGCAGCAAGTGGAGGCCGGGACGCTGCTGCCGCGCGGGCCGCTCTACAAGGCGTTTGTGTCGGACGCCGAGTCGTACAAGCAGTACGGCCAGCCTGCGCGTGCACTGGTCGGCCTCTTCCTCATCGCCTTCCAGGCTTGGACCTGCCTCGCGGCCCGGGCTTGACCGAGATTGACCGAGATTGACCGAGATTGGCCGAGATGCTGTGGGTCAGCCTCGCCGCGCCTCCCGGAGAGTCGCTCGTCACACAGCGCCACCTCTTCTGCTCCAGGCGGTCTTCCTTCTCGGCCCGCTGTTCCTCATCTACTCTGACGCGTTCGCTCCGGCAGCACCTGCTCTTGTGGAGTGCACGGGCACACCTAGCCGCCGCGGCCTCGGCTGCTCAGAGGGCTGCGTGCCGCGCGGCGGGGCGTGCGTTCCCACATAGCTGTCGCACAGCTGCACGTCGTGCCGGCTGCCGCCGTCGCTGCGCTGCGCAAGCGGCGGTCGCACACCGGCAGGCCCACTCAGGCCCAGGGGGGGCTTCGCGCTGCGAGGGTATGTGTACGTGTTTTGTGTTTTACCCCAACCGACCCGCGACCCCCCTCCCCCATTTGCATTTCGCGTTCTCCACTTTCTTTTCTTGCATCTGGGGACTGCGTGTGCCCCGCAGGCGCTGGGCGGCTCCCGTGGTGTACCTGTGCCACCACTCACCGAATTCTTCCCATCGGCCTCACCCGCTGGGCGCTGGCGCTGTCGAACCACCAGCCCGACGCGCACTACAGTTAGTGCCCACCATGCTGGCGATCCTCTGCACGCCTGCCTACGTGCTGCCCAGACTGCCGCCCGCGGTGGCCTCGCGCAGTCACTTCTCGCTCGCAATGCCGCCGGAGGAAGAGGACTGGGCGCGGATAGAGCCTACGCCGACGCCACCTCCACCACCCGAGCGGGAGCGGGATCTTTTCATCCCCATTCTCGTCGGCGTGTCATTTGGCGGGTTTGTGCACCGCGTGAAATCCGCGTAGTAGCGGGTAGGTCTCACTCCTCTCTGTGTGCAAGGTACGCTCTGATCATCCTGTACGACGTCTTCTTCGGAAATGGTCTCTGCGGGCTGACTATAACGTGTTCATCCTCTCCCTGGGGCTGACGATACTTGATCCTGTCTCTCGAGACCTTGAGACACGACCTTGTGGCCTGAGAAAACGCGCCCACGACAGTATCTCTCCCTCTCTCTGCTGTGTGTCGCCGTCTTTTCGGGGCACGCAATCCTGTGCAGTAGGGCAAGTGGGGGCGGGGGGCAGTCCCTTTCACGTATGTTAGGGGTGCGGAGGCTGTCAGGGAGGCTGAGTTGCACACACAGGGGCTGTGCGCCGGCCCTCCAGGGCTCGGCTCTAGCGAGTAGAGACAAGTATATTGTCTCATCAACAGAGTAGATCGGGGCCGATGTGACAAAGCGCTGGTAGCGTGGTTTAACCTCACACCCATGGTCTCACAGTGTGCCGGCAGTCGCCGAGCAGCGAGCAGTGATCACTGGTAGTCACACCAGTGTCGCTCCGCACACAAGCCGCAGCTCGAGCACACAACACTCTCTCTCTCGGTAGGGGGTAGACAGCGTCCTAATCTAAAATCTGAGGATTCAGGATTGAGGGCTTGCTTCAGTGAGGCCAAAGTGAGTTTATGGATGGGTGAGAACGATGCGCGACACGAGGAGTCACGCGGACCGACTCGTCGGTGACTCTGCTGCACGCCGTTTCAGAATTTTTCTCAGCGTGAGCGAGACGTGGAAGAGTGCCACCGTCGGGTAGGACGGGTCGGCCCGGAGCATCAGAGTAGCCGTCGTGGTCGCGGCGAGCAGCGCCGGCCACTCCGGCGCCGCGTCGGCAACGTGGGAGCATGTCCACCGCCACTTCGCGGTCGCAGCGCTGTTGTCACCAGAAACACCGCTATGTACCTTTTCGGGCAAACCATCGATCTGTATGTCGATTTCGACTTGACGGCGGCATGGAGGCATCATGTCTCCATGCCGCCGTCAAGTTGGAGCCAGTCTGCGGCGACCACAGCGCTCAGAAAGGTACATAGCGAGCTTTTCAGAGTCAAGCGATTGCGCGAAATCCCACACTGGTGGATTTTGGTGCGCTGTCTACCCCCTACTCTCGGTCTCAGAACAAGTGAGAAGTGTCAAGTGACTGTGAGGGCCAGTGAGGGCGAGCCAATCGCTGTCACAGCTGTGGTAGCCGCACAGTAGGCTGTGTCAACTGTGCAGAGTGTGTGAGCAGCAGAGGAGCTGCACTCCAGGCTTGAGGCGCAAAGTAGAGATGCATATATGCGGCCACCGCCGAACGAGAGGCGCTCTCTAATAGACGAGGGGCGCTGTCGAGGTTCGCCAAGCGTGGCGAAATCCGGGGAAGCCGCCGACGACGAGCGTAGAGCGCTGGTCAGAATCCGCTATGGCGGCGACATGCACACGAGCTGCGTCCGTGTCGCCGCCCATAGCATAGCGGCGAGGCGCCCGGCGGGATCGTCTGTGGCGCGAACATAAGCCAGGGTCGCGTCCCCGGATATTTCTCGCTATCTCTGGCACTCTGGGTTCTGTCTCTAGTCTCGGAGGGGGGCTTGATGGTAAGATATTTATTATCACCTTACCACAGCCGCCATGGCCCCGACGCCCCCCCAGAGCTCCCCCCTCCCCTCCAAGGGTCCGCCGCCCCCCGCCAGGCGAGGCGCGGCGTGGCCGGCGGGGTCTCTTCGTGCGCGGCGCGCGCCACCTCGTCTCACCACTCATCTCACGCGGGGATCTCACCGTCTTTCCGGAACTGCGGGGTCTGCTGCGTCATCTTCTGCAGTCCCGACAACAACGAGGAGGTAGTGGCCTTCGGCCGCGGCTTCGTTGGTTTCCTGGGGGAGGTCCGAGCCGCCGACTTTTGTGATCTCTGCGCCTTACGCCGCTTCCACCGTTCGTGCATGGCCTTCCTTCGCGCCGCGCGTTTCGGCTCGGAGCCTTTCTTGATGTCTGTGATGTAGCTCAGCCTCGGGAAGGAGTTTTTCAGGTACTTGTTGCCCTCAGCTTGGATGCGACCCTGCGCGGGGGTCTCGCCATATTCTGCAAAGATGCGGTCCACGACGCCCATGCCATCGCCCACCACCTCGGCGAAGGGGCTGAAGCCCATACCTAGACGGCAGACCAGTGACTTCTCCGACGAGATGGCGTTGTAGGCCGTGGCGGAGCCCGCGGCGATGCCGTCGAGGTTCTTATTGTCTTTTGTATTGACGAACATCTGCGTGGTCCTGCAAGTTGCGCCGTGGTGAGCTGTGGTCAGCTAGAGTGCAGCCCTCAGAGGTGCGGCAGGGAGCCCGCTCCTGCTATTCGGGCCAGAGGACGCAAAGGAGATGTAGCCGCGCTGGTTAGACTTCACGACCGGATCGTCTCTGATGGTTTTGCCCCTCCACTCGGCAGAGACTGCGGGGTCGCCACTTATCCTGCGGCACCACAGCGCGCGTGTGAAACCGGCCAAATGCCCGAGTTCGGGTGCATACTCGCACCCAAACTGTGTGATGAATGTTGGCACGACGCGGAAGAAGCGGACGTCTGTTCGGTAGAACTTTGCGTCTAACAGTTCTCTGAACCGCGCGGCGCCGAGCGGAGCCCACTCGGGATGGACCTGGCATCAGGCGGTCGCCTCTGTGTGAGAGCGGGAGCTTGGCACTGCGATAGTCTTTGCGGGGCCGCCAGCGCACCATGACCTCAAAGGAGTCGAGTTCGTCGTCCACATTGACGTAGAACGTGACCAGGTATGGCTTGCGGTTCTTATGTTCCACCAATGGCTTGTTGTCTTCTGCGCGGAGGCACGCTAACCGTAACAGGCCAAGAATCGTCGCCAACCATCGCATTTGTGCGCTGTTGGCCGCCCCGTCGTTTCGGCCGCGCGTAAATCAGCAGGACCCGCGTTTGTGATATTATTTGTTCGGGATCCTGACACCCTCCACACCCCGTACTCGCAGCTCGCGCGTTTGGCAGTCAGCGGCCGGCTGGGGCGGGGAGGGCGAAATTATAGCAGCTCTCCCTATTTTCACAATTCGTCAAGAACTGCTAGAGCGATGCGAAAGAAACCCCCACACTCTAAAACATGGCAGCAAGGCAGCATGCACCCACAGGACCCCCTCAGAGCAAACCCCACATGACCCACGCCCTGCGCCGCCCACACAACCTGACACCTCATCATCAGCACCCTTAGATACGCCGCCGCCGGGACAGGCAGAGTCCCATTCGCTCACGGGCCACGCACGAGTCTCGCATCCCGCACGGCAAGCTCGCCCTCGCTGACCCAAATCTCACCGTCCGGGCGCACACTCAGTCCAACGAGTGTGCGTTGGCCCACTAGTCCGCCAGTCAGTCAGCGCGATGAAGCAGAGCCTCGATGGCCGAGCGCGCGGCGTCCACAGCCATGGGCTCCCCGCTGAGCGTCACCGTGCCCGCGCCGCTCTCGTCCTTCTCCACGTCGATCACGGCGCCCGTCGCCTTGCGCAGCTCGCTCACGTGCGACCCCCGCTGACGAATCACCTTGCGAGTGCAGACCACGCCTCACACTTCACAGAGGGGTGGGGCGGGGGCGGGGGGGGGTCTGCTTTTCGCTGCACACACGCTGACGCCGCCAGGCAACGCTTGTGCTGTGGATAGCCGGGGGGGGGGGTGTTTGCGTGAATAGCAGGCGCGGTCTCTACTCGCTCGGCCAATCACCTTGCGGCGCCACCATCAGGGGCGTGCGCCAGGACGAGACGAGCGGGTCTGCGAGGACGGCGCGGCGCGGCTCAGGCCGATGCG